TGGCAGTGGCCCCAGTGGAGGCGCTGACAGTGATGGAAGGCCCAGTGGTGGAGGTGGCAGTGGCCCCAGCGGAGGTGGTGGTGGCGGCGGCGGCCCCAGTGGCGGAGGGGGTGGAGGCGGCGGTGGTGGCCCCAGTGGCGGAGGTGAGTGTCACATGAGGTATACATAGAAGGATGGTTGGATTAAGATGTAGATGTTCTCTCATGCCTTCCTCTTTTGCATGTGAGCAAAGGTGGTGGTGGGGGCAGACCCGGTGGACGAAGAAACCTGTCGAAAGGACAGAAAAAAGTCCAGAAGAACAAAGGATTGGACGACCTTCAGGAAAACAGAAGATTGGACGATATTGCAGATCAACTTGAAGACACAGAAGACCAAGTATGCTCTATGATGTTTTGACATTGTGGCGATTGTGGCGAGTATATGCCTCACACACCCGTTGTCATGTCTTTATAGATTGATGAAATTGATGAGGAAACTGAGCAGCTGGGTAAGTCTGTGGTTCTCAAGTGTTTGAGAGATAGATGTGAAACAGTGCGGACAAAGGATGTCCCCAGTCCGACCAAACCTTGGAGAATGTGATGCTCATTCCTAGCCTCTTCCGCATGTGCTCCGCCAACCCTCACAGAGGAAGATATTGAAAACCTGGAGGATCAGTAAGTTGCGACTGGCAGTTCTGGAGATCACACCATGGGTTGGCTGTTGCTAATGAGTGATTCAATCCTGTCATTGCAGAATTGAAGAACTGGAAGACAATCTCGATGCCGAATTCCTTGCAAGGTGTGAAAATGTAGAGTTGAAGGTTGAAGAGACCTGTGCAATAGGAACTGGATGTTGCCCTGCCTGCAATGAAGAACTCGAAGATATTCTGTCTTGTGTTATCAATGAAGTCATTCGCCCATTGATTGAAGATGAGTTGGACTATGATATCGGTGTGGACTGTGACATCGATTGTGATGTTCCAGATAGGCGAAATCGATTCCTGATGAGTTACCTCCTCCGAGGCAATGCTTTGAGACGATCTCTCACCCCAGAGCACAAACCTGAGCATCGTTCTCTCCAAGACTCAGCCCCCGAGGAAGATCCACTCATTCAAGCATGCCGCGAACAATTCACATTTGCTTTGTCCATTGGCAACTTCCAAAGTGGAATGGAAGGATTTTTGGAATGTGTCACCGATGTTTCCACAACCTCTCTCTTGTCCGATCCCTCCTCTGGTGATGGCCCAGTGGTGCTGGAGGATTCACCGGATGCACCAATGCCAATGCTTGAAGAGTCTCCAGATGATCCAATGCCACCGGGCGGTTCGTTTCCATAGAGCATGCGGGAGCCTCTGTCTTACTGAGTAAAGATGCCATTTCAAAGCTCTGTGCTTGTTGACCAGCCAGCAAATGCACCGTGACGGTGGTAAAAGAAAGCGTGTAAACGTACCGGTAGGCTGCTTCTTACGTCGTCAACTGCAAGTTGCAATACTGAAGCATCCGTGGAACGACCAATTGGATCTCTTAGATTGTTCCGCTCTCTGTAGCAGAGGATCAGCTTTTACGGGGCTACTGCTTAGGATGGCAATGCGTTCTTCTAGCTGCTGTTCGAGGTTTTGGATCAATTCATTGGTCTCAAGGTCTCCAACGTTGCCATACTGGTAGAGGCAGTCTCACTCTGATTCAGATTTGAGCGACCGTTCTGCAACGATGAAACTATGGCGCCTTCGTTCCAAGGGTACCCACCTTGTCTCAGGAACTGTTGGCTGGAATTGGAAAAGACTCCATTCTAGCTCGCTCAAAACAAAATTCGTAGTATTCTAGTTGCCAAGATGACAGGGACACCCCAAGCCGGTGTCGCAACGAGGAAGTCTTGAACCGGCACATGAATGACCGCAGCGAACGGCACCATTCTAGCTTATGCGCCTTTGCACCCCATGTATACTTGAGACGGGTTTCTCGCAAACCATTGGTGATTGATCATCCACCGTCAAAGGCCGCGGGTGTTTGAGTGTATGCATGGGTTGTACGTACTATGTTGTGTGTGAGATGTGCGTTTGAGCTGCGTTTGTGATGTTCCGAATTTGTGATTGTCGTGGAGAATCCCCAGCATACCGGTAGACCGGCTGTTGCTCCATGCGATCCGGGCCCCATGCAAACTCGCAGCATCTCAGCTTGTGCCGTAGGATCTGTTTGCAAGGTCAGGCACCAACATGCATGCCGCTTTTTCCGTCTCGTGCCTGCCTCTCTTCAAGACTTCGAGGAACGTGGCCCAGTCCACAGTATCCACGACCCATTCGATAGCGAAAGATACTAATACCAACCATAAAAGAGGAAAAACAAACACCCGCAACAACTCGGTTGCCTCATCATTTCATAAAGGACTGCTGCTGCCGTTCGCTGTTTCCTCGTCCCATCAATCATGAGCTCTGGCGAGGAAGACGACAACGACGGAGATATTTCTGACGCCGCCTGGGAAGCCTGGTTGAATCAGCAACGAGAAGAAACTCAGCGCCGTCTCTACGGAAGGGATGACTTCGAAACAATCTCTGTGGGAAATGATGATAATGACAGCCTTCCCTCCATCTCGACTCGATATTCATCGTCGACCAACGAAAGCCGGAGTGATCAGTTCGTTTTTGCCGATGCACCAAAGCCACCACATATTGCCAATGCTCGAATGACTCTGTCCATGTTGTTTGCGAATAGCAACTGGCATGCCCCAGAAGGTCGAAAGTGGGTCTTCAGTGTGCTTCAAGAGTATCCCGCCCTTGCCGGAGAAGTCTTTGCTGACCTGGACAGCGAGTTCAAGAGGCCGTTGTCTCAGCTGCTGTCGGCGCGTGCCAATCTGGAAATGATCCAGACCGTCTACAATATGCAACCAGACGCCATCAGCAAGGCGCAGGGATACATTAACGATCTGCCACTTCATGATGCTTGCTGGTTTGGAAATGACCCTGAAGTCGTCAAATTCATTGCCACAGAGTATCCAGAAGCCCTTACCATTATCAATGACTCTCGGAGACTCCCCATTCATGATGCCATTCGATCTTCAAGAATGTCATCCACTCAACACACCCCGGACCAAAGGACCAATTCCGAAACAATCCGCTTTTTGCTAGACATGTATCCTGGCTGTATGCAGTCGAGAGATAATGATGGAAAGTCAATCATCGAAAGTGCTCTATACCATGGATATGACCCAGAGTTGTTGGCATTCATGATCAATGGATATCTGCCCGCTTCGGGAATTGATAGTTTTCAATGCAGTGGAGGATACTATAGTTTCGACCTACCAAGAGCACAAGCAATCCACAACATCTTTGCTCACGTCAAGTCTTTTCGGTGTGATCCACCTTCATTTTCATCCGATGGTTTCATCTATCTCATGAATTCCTTAGCCTGCAACACTTCATTAGAATCCATGGAAATCTTGTCCTTCCCGGGCGGCCTGCTTCTAAACAACCCAGATACTCGAGGAGGGTTTATTCACTTCATCGAACAAAACCAAACACTGCAAACACTATCCATTGTCATCCCGAGCATGTCCAACTTGCCTCACAGTGGAGTCTGTCTTCAAGTTCTGGAAACAGCTCTGACTTCGGCAAACACGAAAAGCAACCTGCAACGCTTGGAATTGGGACAAATGCTCATCATGGATCGCCAGAACTTGACAAACTTCCTCCTACATGCAAGGGCGCCTACAAGAGAACTGGTATTCGAACAGGTTACAATTAGACTATCCATTGGATCCCTCTTTAGGATGAGTCGTACCGCAGAAAACGCTGCAACAGGGAGGATCCGTTCTGTTACATTCAACAATTGTCCCATGGACCAGTCGACACTGGACGATGTCTTTGAACTGTTGGCCATGATGCCGTCTCTAAGACGACTCAAGATGGAATTTAACCCTTCAGCCCCAGGTGCGAGTACAGTGTCAGAGTTGAACCTGACAGTTCCGTTGATGAGTCTGCTGGAGCAAAACAGATTGGAAAGCGTGGAATTGTCATCCATTTTCTCATTCGACCTGGTGCGCCTCGTGGATATTCTCAAGACCAATATTTCGCTAGAGACACTGCAATCTTCACCCCGTTCGCTGAACACGGAAGCTCTTTGCGAGATTCTACAGCAAAACACGACACTCAAGACCTGCGCATTGGAGCCCACTGGTCGTCATGATAAAACCCGCGACAGAGCCATCCACCTGATGAGGCTCAACGAGTTCGGTCGTGGCACAATACGGCAACAAGGCATTACCAAAACCCAATTCTTGGCGACAATAGTGGCAGTGAATGAAGCCGAATCCCTGAAACTTCCAATTCAAAATTTCAACGTGGTGCATGGATTATTGCGTGAATCTCCTTCGTTCTGGTGCGGCCTTGCAAATTTGTCAGAATGGCGTTGAAGGAAATCCTAAGAACAAAAGGGGGACAAATCAGATTCTTACACAACAGCTCGAAACACTGAACATGGGAAGAAGCTAGACAAAACGAAGGTTGTACTTCAGTAAGGTAAACAAGTCTCGACACGAGCGTCGCCATGGTTGAACCCGATAACTACTCCGGCCACAGGTCGCTCTAGATCATCCGTAGCCAAGCGTTACCAAACTTCATCATCAGTATTGTGCGGTCCCAAAGGCTCTACCAGCCACCAATCAATTCAACAGCATTACAAACAGCCAAATTATAACAAGATCGCCACTCACCCTGCCTCTCCTTGGAGTTCCGGACAAGTGTGAATTGACTGGATTGTTACATGTTCTACCACCTGGGGAATCCTAAGAACAGAAGGGGGGCATATCAGATTTCACACAACAGCTTGCAACAATGAGCATGGGGAAGAGGTGTACTTCAGTAAGGTAAACAAGTCTCGACACGAGCTCGCCATGGTTGAACCCGATAACTACTCCGGCCACAGGTCGCTCTAGAAGATCCGTAGCCAAGCGTTACCAAACTTCATCATCAGTACGGTCCCAAAGGCACTACCAGCCACACAACAATCAATCAATCAATCAATCAATCGACACTCCAAACAGCCGAATTAAAACATGATTGCCACTCACCCTGGCCTCTCCTTGAAGTGGTTACTTGTTCTTTCGGTGCCTGTGAACGTCAGTAGTCTTTTCATGTTTTTTGCCATGGTGAACCAGTGGCAGCACGGTGGATGATTCTCGATTGCTGGTATCTTCCTTGGCCAACCCTTGATACTTGGACTGGTTGGCACGTCCAAACTTTTTTGTTTGCATAACCTTGGGCAGGTTTTTAATGTCTCCTCGTGATTTGGCCGATTCTGTGACTCCTTGTTCGTACTCTTTAGCACGCAGGCGGACATCTCCTTCCTCAAATTCATCCTCGTCCATGTAGTAGGCTCCACGGTGAAAGTACTTTTGCATAAACTTGGGCTGGTCCTTGTCACTGGCAGCGTGCATACGATTGCTTCCGGGTTGTTGATATCGCCCGGATGCCATATCTTCGGCCTGCGCCTGCTCATCCGTGAGTTGTTGTCTTCGTCTATACTCAGCTTCCAGCTGTTCCTTCTTTCGTAGTCGATCAATTTCCTCCAACAAACGCCCAAGTTCCCGTACTTCCCAAAGATCCCTTTCTTTGTCTTGATGTTCGTCATCATCCTTGTCATTGAGCATGCGCTCTGCCAGTGCTTCTTCATCTTCGGAAACCATTCCATCATCGTTGGTTGAGGATTTAGTTGTGCCGGTAGAGACGATCTCTGCCACCATTGCTCTGGATTCTTGCTTTCGTTTTCTTTTGTTCTTTTTGTCGAGTTCTTCCTGTTCTTTTTGTGCTTGTTCGGCCTCTAGTTTTTCTTGTTCCAGCTGTAATCTCTTTCGTTTAGGAACAAATAGTGGTTTGGCCATGACAGGAGCTGGTTCATCTTCCGATGATGACGAAGAAGAAGAGGACGAATCTGAATCCGAGGAGGAACCGTCGGAAGCCGAAGAGGAGGAAGACGACTCTTGCTGCTGTTTCTTTTTTGGTTTCTTTGTTGCTGTTGCTGCAGAGTCTTCCGCTTTGGATGATTTGCCATTTGCTTTTTCAATCTGCTTGAGAGGCGACTGTCTAGTTGGTTTTTCATTTTCTCTGTTTTCCAGAGCCACACTGGTTTCCTTGACTGTGTCCTTCTGCACAGGTTTTTGATTCTGTGCCTCTAACTGTCGTCGTTTTTGGAGACGTCGTTGTCGCCGTTCATCCTCTTCTGACGACGAGGAGGAGGAAGATGAAGATCTTCTGCGACGATTCCTTCTTTGCCTATTATTATCGTTGTTGTCGGATTCATCCGACGAAGAATCCTTTCGGGTCTTTTGTTGTCGTTTTCTCCTTTGATTGTCATCAGCGCTACTGTCTGAGGAACTACTGCTGGATCGTCTCCGACGCTGTCGCTGTCTTCTCGGTGCGTCTTTTTGTGCCACTACAATTTGAGGCTCTAACTGAACCCGTTTGTTGTGTGTCTTCTTGCGGTTGGCAGCTGCGGCGAAGTCCGTCTCATCTTCCTCTTCAGTGTCGCCCCCAGCAGCGTCGTGTTTCTGTACTTGTTGTTGTTGTTGTTGTGCTTGCTGCTGCTTCTGCGCTATCAATTCTTGTTCCAACAATTCGTGATGCGCCAACTTTTTCTTGCTTCTACTTCGTTGTGCGCGATGACGACTTGTAGAGGCGGCGACGCCTTTGGAGAGTTGCTCTTGTTGAATCAAGGCGGCAGTTTCTGCTGTTGACAATGTGGAGAAATCCACAGCTTGTGTCTTGTTGCCTTTGCTCTGCTTCTTGTGTGTTTCGGCAATTCCTCGGCCGTGCAACAGCGCTGTACCAGCCGTACCAATCCCAGCCGTCGACTCATCGCCTCCGGCAACACCCAAAAGCAGATTCATCTCGTCACGCCCAAAGGCGCCTCCTTGTTTCTTCGACGCCATCTTGACCTATTGATTGCCTGATGGATCGACGGTGGATGGATGGTTGGCTTACTAAACAGCAACGGACCGACCCGACACAAGTTTGGCAAAGATCCAGAACGGGATCAGCGATCGATGCGTTGCAGCTCAATGCTCAATGGTTGGTTGTCAGCAGCTGACGTTTCACTCGTGACTAAATCTCAGACTTTGAAACCTGCATCCAACATTTATTTATTTATTTATTATCCCAAACATTGGGCAAGAGAGCATTGGAAAGCTCTGGATCAACGAAGTTGTTGCTTCTGTTCCAACCGTTCATTTATTTCCAAAGTGGCTCATTATCGACAATGGAACGTCCACCAGCACAGTCAAGGATGAAGGAGGCTGAAACCATGCTGTCCTCGTCTACTACTACTTCCACGAGCAACAGCAACAGCAACAGCAGCAACCACGGGATTCTGGAACTGGCTTCTCAAAACGCATCGTTGCAATGGGTCCGACGGGACAGTCTAGAGCAAATGCGCCATCAAACGGAATTCGAAATTATCTGCGAGCTGGGCAGTGGAGCTTTTGGAACAACTTTCAAAGTCAGAAATCGGATTGACGGGAAAATATACGCACTCAAAAGGGTCCATCTCGGACCAGTCAAAGGCGAAAAAGCAAACAAGTTGGTGCGAGAAGTGGAGGTTCTCTCCAGTCTAAATCATGAAAATGTGGTGCGATACTACAGCGCATGGGTCGAAAAGGGAAGTGATGTTATGCCCGATGAGGAAGGTCGCTCTGATGAGGATGACACCGATTCCTACTATCACAATCATTACACTACTTCCGCAAGTAGTGAAGATTGGAACAACAACACCAACAATAATGACAGCTGCATCACTAATGTCCAAAAATGGAAGGATCCTGTGTGTCACCTATGCCAATCCTCGTACACGGACTGGGAAGTGAGCTTTGAAGCGTGGGGATTGCTAGATTCCGTCTTGCAGCCAACATTTCTATGCACCATTTGTTACAAGAAAAGTTTGCCATCACATGTCGATGTTGACACCATTCACATTCGCAAGAAACAAATCATGTCATTCTACCTCTTTATACTCATGGAATACTGCGAGTCCACCTTGCAGGAGGCCGTTGATGCTGTCCACAATCTCACAAATAATAATGGTCCAGACAAGAATGATAAAGAATCAAAAGACAAGCTGCTGTGGGCATATTTTGCTCAATGCGTACAAGGGCTCCAGCACTGTCATGCCAGAGGAGTGATTCACCGTGACCTCAAACCTACCAACATCTTTGTTCACAAAGGAGTGGTCAAGCTTGGCGACTTGGGACTTGCAACGTACTACAACAACGACCATCTCAACTCAATTCGGATGGCAAACAACGCAACCAACAACAGTGGGAGTAACATCACCACCACAAGGCAAGACACTCCAGATGATCGTAACTGCACCCAGCCAAAGCGGGATGCATCCGCCGTGACAACCAACCATGACAATGACACAGAGCGACTTCCTAATCTGGGGGCAGCCTCACTGTCATCTCAAGTCGGGACCTTCTTGTACGCAGCCCCAGAACTGGCAGCTGGCAGGTACAATGAGAAATGCGACGTCTTCTCGATGGGGGTCGTAATGGTGGAAATGTGGAGTCAATTCAAAACTGGCATGGAGAGAGCACACGTCTTGCTTGGCCTGCACTCAGACAGCAGCAACAATAATGTCCTGGGCACGGACTGGACTGAGGATCACCCCGCACAGTCTCTGCTGGCACAATCCATGTTGTCTCCTGATGCTACAAACCGCCCGTCCTGCACACATATCTTGGGGTTTCTCTTGGAGAGGAACCTCTGGCAGCAGAAGAACCCAGTTGTCTTGCAGGAGATTGTATCCGAACTTCAGCTCTCCAGGAGGAAGCTAAAGGAAAGCTTAGAGCAAAAAGAAGACACGATAGCCAGCTTACGTAGGCTCTTGAATGCGAACAACATCGCAAATGATCACATACCGTGATGTCTTTTTCGGTTTGCAACTGCATTATAGATTCGGCGGGGATAAACTTTGGTTTCTTCCTCGTTTTCCTTTACTTTCATTCAAGAGCTATGCAAGCATGCCAGCATGGAGTTTCTTCTCTTCAATCAATCAAACAAATCAAATCATTTGAAGGAACGGCCGGGCTGTTGTCTGCTGAATACTATGCACGCATTCGTTCGGTCTTTTTGCGTTTGCCAGCTGACCCGATGGGTCGATCGGTCGCAAAGTGGTTTAACACAGGATTGGAGTGGCCATTGGGAGTTGGGAGTTAAGTTGTCCTTGCAGACCTTATCGCAGGTAAATAGTACGATGTAGCCTCTCACAACCTTCGTTGCCACAAATAGGGCCAGGACAAATGCCAGGCCATGCCGCAATGCTTTTTGTGGGCTGTGGCAGCTGCTGTGGCCAGGCCAATGCTTCGGCTCTCGGCTGATGGAATAGCTTGGAATTCAGCCTACCGGAAACCAAGTCTGTGAGTGTGCTGCCACAGCTAACTGCTCCCACGCCATACCGTATCAGGCTGGATGGTTCTAGTCTTCAGTGTTCAACTCCGTACCGGTATCGGTACCATCACCAACTCTTGGAGCGTCTCTAGTCTCTAGCCAGTAATACTGGTGGTAGTCTAGTCTACCGTGCAGGTAACGGTAAGGAAGACAGCTTTGTAACTAAGGTAGATGTGGTAATAATTGTTTTTTACACGAATATGCAGATACCTTTTATTTACCGGAACTACCCATCCAAAATTGTCTGTCGCGAGAGCCTTCTCATCAGGCCATGATAGAAAATCATCTCTCATGAGAGATGAGAGGCTTTTCAGCCCAAAGCAGGCCAAACAATGAGCCACTATGAAGCTATGAAGAGCTCTATGAAGTATGAAGCCACCCTTCCCCATCCTGGTTTGCCAGAAAGAGTCCAGACTAGAATGTCCATTCTACAGATCATTGCTACTGGAGCTCTACTGGTACTAGACTACTGGTATGCCAATGGTACCGCTGTATGCTTGTTGTCCTTCTTCGTGTTGGGAGTTCGCTGATTTATGGCAAGAGGCTAAAACAGACTCTCCTTCCATTGTTGAGCCTCGTTTACTGGCCTTTCTTCTGGCCTGCTCTAACAGCTTCCACAAACAAAAGGAACACTCTAGCCCATAGTTTAAGAAATTAAGAAACTCTACATTGTCTACTAGCTAGCGCTACCGTACCGGTACATGTAGCCAGTAGAGTTACTGTTGGCAACCATATGCATACACTCCTCACTCACACTTAAGATAAGTGGGTTTAATTACCGAGTACTCAACTTTTTGGAAATGTTTAGATAACCCGGACACTCAGATTTCCCAAACCAGTAAGATAAGCTACGAGTACTGAGGTCTCAAATCCTAAGCTAATACTAAGACTATGCGGGGATTGAATGCAGCTAGTACCCACTATCTACCACATCACCATCTACATCCAAGTACTCCATATCCGCATCTTAGGGTGCCTCCCGACCACGGAATCTTTGGTTTCATCAATTTTAGCTTTGCACCTTTGCCTTCTTGAGCTTTGGTGGTGGCTCCTCACTGTCTCCGGGCATGGTTAGTAGTAGGGTATGTAATAAAAGCTTCTACCAGGTAGTGGCTATAAGATATGAAAGATACTGAGATTGGGCTGCTTGTAAGATAATAACTCAGTGTTGCTGTAGCTGAATCGGTTAAGATACCTCCAGTACTGGACTAAGAATAGAGTTATCTTATTGATGAGGTTGGAGTATACCGGTACCGTACGCTACCCATACCGGTACCGGCGGCGGTAAGATCAATTACTTGTTTGCTTAAAATCAAGGTTAGAACCCACAGGAACTTGAGAACATCTGGGAGCAAACTGCTTCGGGCACTTGTCTTTGGATCGGAATGGCCTTTGCTGTTTTTTGTAGTCAAGAAAGTTCAAAAAGAGCCTTTTTCCCTCTACGATTTTACAGTGGCACAACCATCTCAAACAGCGCAGTTGCAAGGTCAAAGCCGAACTTTCATGCGCAAACACAGACAGCAAAGACAGTGCTGCATCTCTTCTGCAACTCTTCATCTCATTATTCCACTCCACAAACATCAAACAGAGCAATACCATACACAAGGATGTTCTCTCAGATCGTTGACCAAGTTCCACCAATGAAATCTGAAATGATCGATATGAGCGCCCTCAGCGAAGACTGCAGCATGAGCAAGTCTAGCAGTCGTCGCTCGATCAAGGAAATCGTGTTTGGCCGCCGGAAGACTCGAGCTCGTCGTTCGACCTCTTTTCCTGAAACACTGAAGAAGTCTTATCAGATGCAAATCGATGAAGAAATTGCAACTTTGAAGAAAGATCTGCAAGAGCTAACATCACTCCATGGTCCTCTTGCTGAATTCCAACAACCTGATGACTCTGATCGAACACGCACAAACATGTCCGCTTCTTGGACAGCCTTCCGACTCCGAAGATGGTCAAGTTCCTCGGCTTCCTTGACACCCACAGTGTAAGCGTTTTCTTCCAGGGTCTTTAGAAAGCACTGGGATGCACCAGGGCACCAGCAGCTGCACCAGCCAACTCACCAATGGACCTATCGAGAATTTTGCTCCCTCTCGCTCAACTCCTCCTTCCGACATCTTTCTTCCGAGCTAATGGGTATCATGTACCACCACAACTCCATGCACAGATACTACTAAATTATGTAAACTATCCTATAAACCGAAAACTCAACTGATTTCCCTTGTTTCAGCCTGTACTATGCACCTGCTTGAGCGCACTATTTGCAGTCCAATCGGCTTCCTTTTTCTCGCACCCCGCGAGGACACCTAGCTAGCTATGCATAGCTAGCTGGTACGTGGGTGAGCTAGACAACGTCGTAGACACGGACGGTTCCGACATCGCTCAGAATCCCATCAAAGGTAGAGAATGGAGCACCTCCGGCAACCCGGGTGCCATTCGAGTTTAAGGCAACTGACCAACCAAACAGGTCACGGCCATCGTAAGAGCCTCCAATGTTGCCTCCGCGACGGACCCAGGTACTCTCTCCAGTATCTGGTCGCATCTCGAAGACCTGGGAGCGCAGGAAAAGGCAATAGTGAGCGGTATGCTGTCATCCTGATGGTTGTGTCGTAACACACACAATTCCTTTCACGTACCTGAATGTGACCGGCAGATTCAGAGAATTCATCGTTCCGGGGCCCTCCAGCTGCCACGACATGACCATCAGCCGAGAGCGAAACACTGTAGCCAAACGAATCAAAGGCGCTCTGTCCCACAAGCATCTGGCCCAATGGCTCCCAAGCAGGTTCTGAATCGTCCTCGGAAGTCTCCACAAATCGGAAAACGCGCACATGCCCAATGTCGACACCATCTTCAGCGCTAGAATGACCAATAGCACCTGCTGCAACAATATTTCCATTGTCAGACATGGCAACCGAACTTCCAAAGCTATCAAACGCGCAAGGCCAGGAATGGATGGACCCGCCTGGGTCCATGAATCTTCTTCGTCGCCATAGTTAAAGACACGCACTTGGCCAGAAAACTCCCCCACTCCTTCCGCTGTACTTCCCACAGCACCAGCTATGATCCGCGTGCCATTTGACGACATGGCAAGGGACCAACCAAAGAAATCCCCGGGCTTTTCGCCATACATGGTATCTCCAAGTTGGACCCATCGGTTACTGATTCCTCGCTGGAACTGAAAGACCTTGACATATCCACTATCTTCGCGTCCCGTTCCTTCTTTATCTTCACCCATTGTAGCACCTACGGCAAGTCTGTTGCCATTCTCCGACAAGGCAACAGAACTTCCAAATTGACTGTCACCTCCGCCGACCTTGGAGCTGTTGCCTAACAACACCTGTCCAACGAGAATCCATTCCTTGGGATATGCATCTGTTTCTTCGTATACCGCAACGTGTCCTCCGTGAGGTGCCAAGAAGGGTGAGCCGACGGCAATTCGCTTTCCATTCTTGCTCATGGCCACTGAGGTTCCAGCTTGTCCATCTGGGCCTGGGCCGATAATAGGCGATGCACTGGATGACCATGTTGTACCATTCCAGTCGAGGACATGCACTTCTCCCACTAGCAACTTGGTGGCTCCTTGGTCACGTCCAGGAACGCCAATGGCAATCCGATCCGCATTGCCGGCCATGGCAATAGCGTATCCATAGAGCGATTTGTCATCATCCGTTGGACCCGTCAAGTTGTTTCCCACCTGTTTCCATCCTTCAATGGTGGGAACACGGACCTGCTGCCAAGGTAGGTTCGCGGATGCCCGAGAAGGTCGACTCAAACCAACAGCAATGGCCGAGGCAATGGCTCCAATGGCAAGGGAGAACACTGTGAACTTGATCATGCGCGATCGCTGGATGGATTTTGCCGAGGGTCCGATTTCATCTTCTGGCAAGTGTTGACCCTCGTAAACGACATGCAAATGGGCATCGAGGACATCTCCCGAATTGGGAGCCGTGTCCCCGTTGTAGAGCTCGGCGTTGACAGCAAGTTCTTCGTCAATGAACAAGGCCGAGTTGGGGTCCGTCAGTGTCGGATCATTGATCACGATGGCAGCGGCATCTCGGTTGCGATCTTCGTGATTGAGGTCGGAATCGAACGGTTCATTGAGCTCATCATTGGCTCTACCGGCTCCGTGCATTCCTTCGACGGCGAAGGCCCCAGGTGTCTGAAGCAAAACGGGAACTCCTGCTTGCGCCACTTCGACTGCTGGACGTTCCACCTCGTCGCCAGGTCCTGCATTGGCAAACTCATCGCCATCATCATCCAAAATATCGTCGTCCTCTTCTTCCATGATGGTGCTATCCACCAAGGCGGGCCGCTGGGAAAGAGACGCATGGTGGGTACTGAAACTTGCAACCTTGACATTCTTGTGGGCCGATAGAGTGCCAGTCGAAGCGTCCGCCGAGGTCGTGACGGCCTTGGGTTTGCCAGTATCATCTTCAACGTCGACTCCAGTAATGTCCTCCTCGTCGTCATTATTGGGGATGAACTGAAGTCCCGACGCAGCTTGTGCTTGGCGAGAGGCCACGGATGCCAAATGGAGTGCGACGGCATCGTCGTCGTCGCCGTGTTCCGATTCTGACTTTTTGGCGGCACGCCGTCCTCGAATGACCGAATGCGCTCCGACACTGCTGCCGTTGGAATGGTGACTATTGCCGGTGCCTTCTGCTGCCTCTGCCATAATCATGTTTCCCCCGAAACTGTTGATGAGATGGGTTCCATACGGGACGGCCACAGTCGCGCGACGGCGTCTGGCAATGCCGCAGTGTTCGAGGTTGCTAGAAGCACTTCGTTTGACATTTGCATTGTCGCTGTTGGCAATGGCAGAGTAAGGACGAGGGATTCCATTCCCCGTGGTGGCACGACGAACAGCGCGACGTTTCTTGAAACCGGCAGCAGTAGCCGTGAGCTTGCTGCCGTTTGTCTTGACGGCTCGGTTGCTATCGACATCATCTTCGTAGGCAGAGGTGAATCTGCCAACACCCCCCTCGTCGTCATCATCGTCATCAATGAGAGCAAGATCAACGGCGGCTTGACGCAAAGCAAAAGAAGACTGTAACGATGCCAAAGAAGAGCGAGCAGCACCCGTGTTCTGCGTGACTTCGGTGGATCCGCTGCTGGTAGAACTGACCGACGACATGGTGGTAGAGCGTCGCTTCAAGACCGAGGTCATGGGAGGAACAACATGCGTATTCTTATTCTGATGTTGCTGCTTTTGTTGCTCCTTGGCAATCAACATGGCAGTTCGATCGTGGCGGAGAGGAGGTCCGTCGATGGGAGAACTGGTAGTATGATCTGGTGTTCCGGGTCGTAGCTTGGGTACTCGTAGGTTGCTATGCTGCATCTGTTCTTGTTGTTCCATGGCCACCAATCGCTCTTTTCGAGCGCGAGTCTTTTCATCACGGATAGGAGGAAGCCCAGCAGCACCAGCCGACATGTTTTTCCGAATGACGGCCGCGTTCTTTTCTGGCATTGTCGACTTGTTGTTGTTACTGTTGTTGCTGTTAACTTGCCAAACGGCTCCCAATGCCTTCTGGTCATAGCGGTGGCGACCATTGTCTTCCACCAAGCCATCAGAATCATTATTATCCATGGGAGTTGTTGCGAATGAACCGCGGGAGCTAGTAGGAGAAGGCGTCACAAAGGCACGTGTGGTGGCAGGAGGTGGCTTTGGATTGGATTGTTGTTGTTGATGAGTCTTTCGGCCAGCTCTTGTCGTAGGAGTGGAAGGAAACTCACCAGGAGCGGTAGCAGGAGAGATCATATCAACATTGCGGTTGTTGTTGCTGTTGTTAATGTTGCCACTGCCAGCTTCAGCGCGATGAAAGGCGCTGCGATTCGCGTTATGATTGAGATCCATGGCGATGGATAACAAGATGACAAAGACAAAGATAAACAGAGAGTTGGTCTATTAGATGATGGCTACCGCTTGTCTCTCAGATGATAACTCAATCCAACAAGAGATCCTCTTGGCTTGAAGCGTTCAGAAGACTATTGATGGCCAATGAATGGATTGGCTTTCAGATAATATGACAATGCCAAGGAAAGTGAGTTGACGGAATTGGCATGCAGTGGAGGCAATCTGCATGGAGGCGAAAGGCGAAGAACCGCGAAAGAACCGCGAAAGATCGACTCCCGAGAAGAACAACGCCAAGATTGGAAATATAAGGCGAGGGTTTTAAGGATACTCTGGTAGAGTTAAGGCTTTCGTTGACATCCTTTCCCGCCCATGCGTTCCAACTGTAATATGAACTCCACATTCCCTCATCAAGTCCTCGGTTGGCAAGTTGACATCACCATCTATCTTTTCGTCTGAACTCATGATTGCATTAGCATAGCAGACACCAACCTTGCAAACAAGGGATCTCAAGTGCCAAAGGTTGTCGTGATGTCTGACAGGATTGGCTTCTGTTCTTCTTCTGATTGGTATCTTTGTTCTCACATCCATCGTGTTTCTTGATGCATCCTCTTGCAATCTCAAATGCAGAGACTGAGCTCACTTTCTTTAGCGGAAGCAAAACAGAATCCAATCCAATCGAATCATCTACTTGGTTGCAACTTTGATTTGATAGTTGATAGATCTGAGGATCTAAATCTTGAACTATTATTTTTGTGCATCAACGACAAAGAAAAATGTCTCAAGTCAAGTCTCCTACCGCTACCGTGAAACAAACGGAATCAACCCGACGTGACAGTGGAATTTGTTCTTCTGTCATGGAAGCCATTGGAGAGACACCGTTGATCAGAATCAACCAGTTGGCCAAGGACCTGGATTGCGAAGTTCTGGTAAGCTGGAGGTAGCATTTTCGCGTGTGAATGGTTGCGTTGAAACATGTATGGTACCGTATCGTACGAATGCCACCCTCACTTCTACCGTACAAAACCTCGTGTCATTATACCGTAGGTCAAGGCCGAATTCTTCAATGCTGGCGGATCCGTAAAGGACCGCATTGGTCGGCGCATGGTGGAAGATGCTGAAGCTAAGGGAATCATTAAACCTGGCGACACTCTCATCGAACCAACCTCCGGAAACACGGGCATCGGACTCGCTATGGCAGCCGCCACAAAAGGGTACCGATGCATCATTGTGCTGCCCGAAAAGATGTCCAAAGAAAAGGTTGATGTCTTGAAAGCTTTGGGAGCAGAAATCATGAGAACGCCCACAGAAGGTGCGTGCCGTACTGTATTTGTTTACTCGAATATTCAGGTATTCACTAACACGCTCATATATCATCTCAAACATTTCGCCTTGCCCAAAGCTGCCTATGATGCACCCGACAGTCATATCAGCGTGGCCAAGAGGTTGCATGAAGAGATTCCAAACTCCCACATCCTCGATCAGTACTCAAACTTATCCAATCCCCTAGCACACTACGAGGGCACGGCAGAAGAGCTATTGAGACAGACGGGCGGCAAGATTGATAGTACGTGCTTCTCATTCACGACCCTGAATTCAATTCCATAATGGTGCTGTTCATCCCTCACCACGTTTGCCCTTGTCATTTATTTGTTCCGATTCCATTGCCAGTGCTTGTGGCAGGTTAGTACAGTTAGTTTGCTTTGAATGGTATACTTCCCACTTTGGTATAGTTTTGGTTGGAGATCTCACCCCGTTACTTCTCGGACATCTCAGGAGCTGGAACCGGAGGAACCATGTAGGTCTTGTCCGTTGCTGCCATACGGTATTGGGTGGTTCGCCATTGCAGTGTCTGATCTCTGATTCCTTTGATTTCTCTCCCCACAAATCTCTCTCTCTCTCTCTCTCTGTGACATGATTGCTTCTGGTCGGTTAGTTCTGGAATTGCCAAGCGTCTCAAGGAGCACAATCCAAACATACAGGTCATTGGTGTGGACCCCGTTGGCTCCATACTGGCAGAGCCCGAAACCTTGAACGACAACAAACGCCTTGAGCCATATTTGGTGGAAGGGATTGGGTACGATTTCATACCCAATGTTTGTGATCGCAGCTTGGTTGACGAATGGATGAAAAGCAATGATAAAGATTCACTGGGTAAGGCATCCTCCGAAACAGGCTCAAAGTGTGCTCTTCTTGTGGGCTGAAGATTGGTCATCTCACATGTTGCCTTTTGCTGCACTCTCGTTGCTCCTCTGTTAGTTCAAATGCGGGCCCTAATTCGGCATGAAGGACTGTTGTGCGGTGGAAGCAGCGGAGCTGCTGTTAGCTGTGCCCTGAAGGCTGCCAAGCGACTCAAAAAGGGACAGCGATGCGTCGTCATTCTTCCAGACAGTGTTCGCAACTACATGAGCAAAGCTCTGTCAGATGACTGGATGATTGATCATGGGTTTGTGGACAACAAGATTATCCAAACTAAGCAGTACAGCGCATGGTGGTCAACAAAGAGACTCTGCGACGTCCCAAGTGTGACAAACAACACACCGCTCACAATAACTTCGGATGTGTCGTGTTGCGATGCAATTGCGGTCCTTAAAGAAGGGGGCTACGACATGGTACCTGTGATTGAGGACAACGAGATTCTAGGAGTTGTGACGGAGGGAAACATTACAAACAGACTGCTCAGTGGAAGATTATCGTCTCCAGATACTACGTCTGTGAAAGAAGCAGGTATCATCTTTAAGAGCTTTCACGAGTTCAATATGCAAGACCAGCTTGCTACGGTTGCACAGGTTCTTGATCATTGTCCATTTGCACTCGTGACGCAAGAACAACGGGTTGTCCATGCTGCACGGGAAGGAGAGCATAGAGTCGACGGACCAAACAAACGCAGAAAGTTATCAGATGAGATTTCTCCTGCTGAATCTCAGGATGAAAGCACCGTTACAACTGCTGAATCTCCTACCAATCCCAGTTCTGTTGGTGGTTCCAAAGCAAAGTTGTCGGCTTCCTGCTCGCATCATGTTGTCAAACGCAAAGTAGTCTCTGCAATTGTAACCCGCATTGACTTGCTGGAGTACATCGCGGCTGGAGAGATTCCTGTACAAGGTCGTGCACACCAAAACTAAACATAGCTGCTGGGCGCACGTTTGACTGGAACATCTTGGTTTGCTACACGGCAACAATCAGGATTGCTGCGACGACGGACTGCGTCCGCCGTGAGTGGAAACCTCGATATCTAGCTAGCTATAGCTGTAAGGCTTCCAGGACGCGAAGTCACTGCAGCATACACTATATATAGCTTTTAGCTCGAGCGAATATTTCAGTTCCTCGTTCTTTATACCCTCTGTACATTGTTTCCCAGGGCGACATGCCTTGTCACCCGCCAGAACCAAGGCTTCAACCAAAGATGCGATGCAACAACTGCCGAACGGGACTCCTAACACCATTTAGCTTGCAGGTACCAGCGTCGAATGTGAGACAGGTTACCAACGGAAGGAGTCATTGTCGGTAGTGAAATGTTGTTCAAAGCAAATGAACTGTTCGTTTGGTCTGCCTGCTGCAATGCCTTCCCAAGCACACTTCGGCTTGCCTTGGCTCCTTCAATTGGAACGCAAATCGTGTCCCAAACGATGTTATCCTCGAAGCCGCCGTACAACTGGAGCTGCAGTACAGGCATATTCCGTGCAACAGGTACATGTAACCGAGCAGTCAACTCTCAAAGTTGCCAATGAACCATTTGTCCGAAGTGCACATATGTCGGTGGGCATCGCGCCGATCAATGATGGGTTTGCACTCACATCCATGTACTGGGAGATGCAGGAAAATTGATTGTGAGCCATCATGACGCCGTCGTGCTTGAGTGACACACAGTTTCCTTCACGTTACTTTAAGACACGACCTCCTCTAGTCTCTGTTTTCACTCACCTCAAGGCCTTGAACTTTGCCAATTTCCGATGGAACAGTACCCAGGAATGCTCCAATCCTAAAATCCATCCTGGTTAGGCTACCGAGATTTCCAAGCTCGGATGGGATGTTACCGCTCATCCATGTTGAATCAAGGTTTAGAATTCCTGTTTAGTGGTTGCAGATTGAGGTCGTGGTGAGGATAAGGTTCAAGAGAGCATCGTTCCACCTTTTGAGAGAGTACGCTGGGCTTACGAAGATTTTGAAGCCTTCCGATCTCCGTATGAAGAGGGCCTTGCAACGCTGATGGACCCAAGTCCAATACTTGCAGATTTAGGAGATTCGTGATTTCCAAAGGAAGATTACCGTTGAAGAGATTGCCCATGGTTCCTCCGAGGATGAGCTCTCCTTCGTGAACAGGTATTAGAGCGTAAAAGAATATGAGTCTGAAGAGTCTACCCGAGGCTGGTGGTACGATAGAATACATTGCAGCAAACTTACTCATCGAGGCCAAGTTTCCGACTGCCGGAGGGATAGCGCCAGACAGCTGATTATCGCCAATGTCAAGTATTTCGAGACTCACGAGATTGGCCAACGTAGCTGGAAAGTTGCCTGTGAGTGCGTTGTTGTTCAATTTCAATGTTTCTACGTTGCAGCCCACAAGCATAGTCGAACAAGATGAGTAAAGTACCAATGGTTTTGTTGTGAACAACTCCATTCGGATGATACCCAGGATAGCACGTACTCAAAAAGAAAAGACCAAAGAATCCAACGTCGCCAAACGTAGCTGGAATTTGACCAACGAACGAGTTCTCCGAGAGCCACAGTTCCTCTGAGCAAGAGTACAGCGTATCAATAGATGGAAGTTAGCAAGGTCGGAAGCAGGTGAAGGTGTCGTGGGTTGGATATCGAGAGGCTCACCAAGATTCCCTGCGGTAGCAAATTCTAGAGGAATCGGTCCACCAAGGCCAGCTCTCGATAAGTTAAGCGCTCCTGTTGCGTCGCTAAAGTATGAGACAACAGCAGGGCATCGGTGTCACAGTCGTTGGAGGCGGATGACTTACTCAGTGTTTGGCTACCTGCGAGCTCAACTGGAATTCCGGCGCCTGCAAAGTTGTTATCGTTCAGAAAAAGATTCACTGGAAGTAGCGTTCAAGTAAGTTTCGGTTTCTTGGCTTTTGCATGCAAGCAAAGTCAGATCCTGCTCTGCTTTCGTCGTGAACTCACCAAGTGTCGGGAGGACCCCAAGCAAGGGGGGAATCGTCCCCACGAAAGTATTGTTCCCGAGATCCAGCGTCTCTGAACAGCAGGCAAAAACATGTTGACAGTCAGTGAAGTAATGCCAACGAAAGGACGGCACTGCACACACGGTAAACTGTATGCTCTTACGGATGGAAGGAAGACTCGTGGCGGTCAACATTATATTCCCTCCGATTCTGTTGTCCGGAAGTGTCAACGACGCTGTACGTCAAGGAACAGGATAGTGACGGATGTCAGGCCAAATTCAGCGTATTCCACCGAACGAGTATCAAAAAGAGTTTGCCTACCTAATGATGGGCTTTCCATGAGTGACGGAGGCAACGTCCCTGAAAGCGCGTTTCCGGACAGATCAAGACGTTCTTCAGAAGTGTGACAGCCAAAAGGAAGGAATGTGAGTATCTGCGCTCAAACAGGGTTTAATAAAATGGATCCAGTCGAGCAAGGCTGAAACGCTCACCCAAGAAAATGATGTTCAACCAGATGTCAGGAATCTGCCCCGTGTGACCATTTCCAAATGAAACAAAGCTCCCTAAAAGTACGGGATGTTTTGAGTTTGAGACACGATCGCAGTTTGGCAGCAATAGCATCCAAAAGAAACTTACTCAAAGAAAACAAGTTTGTAAACTCGACAGGAATAGGGCCAATGAGCTGGTTTGAATACGTCCAAAGAGTCTCTGATGAGGGCGGAAGGTGTGACCAAACAGGCATGAGTACAATTTTCGGCATATTCAAGAGGCACCTACACAGCTACAGAGTGCAACGCAACCAACACCGTACCGAGCATGGCCATCTGTCCCAATTCCGGTGGAAGTACACCTGAAAGCAGTTGCATTCCCAGGTTCAGCTCTCCTGCGCAGTAGGATTTGGAACCGAACAAGACGGGGATTGAGAAGGGAGTCCCACTGAGGTATCGGTACGCACAGCAGGAACCGATGAACGTACTCAAGAATACTAGATTTCCGATTTGAGGAGGGATCGTGCCAATGATGTTTGTAGCCGGGTTTTGCACAGTCGGCATCCCCTCGAGATTGAGTACCTCTAGAGTCAGCATGTTGCCGAGCTCAAGAGGCAAGGATCCTCCGATGAGATTGGACGCCAGATGTAGCTCTCTAATGAGAGGAAGCAAGCCCAGCTCAGTTGGGATGGCACCAGAGAAGAAATTGCTTCGAAGATCCAACAATTGCAAGTTTTGAAGCTCCCCCAAGTTTGTTGGCAAGCCTTGGAGGAGGGAGTTGAAGCTCATGTCCAATGTCGCTGTGAAAAGCAAGAAGAAGTGAGAATTGTTTGTTTGTAGGAACACGCAAGCAAATCCGTTCAGTTCCGAACGTACATAGAGCTGCAAAGGCTCTGATCTCAGATGGTAGTGGGCCAAGTGCATCATTCATTGGGAGAGAAATATTCACCACAAGGCCTGTTACGTCGCAAGTGACGCCGAACCAGGGTTGGACGGGATCACATGGGGGAACCGCCGAGTTCCAGTTTGTGTTAAGCCTCCATCTTTCACCCATTGTTGAGAAGTATATTGTATTCAGAGCATACGAGTTAATCAGGACAAGCTGGTCTGCTGGTAGGGTAGGATCCCGAGTCCCGAAGTTCAGCAGAACAGAGTTTAGAGCGCTGTTTTGAGCAGTACCCAGGCTTTTTAGTTCGCCTCCTGGGGATACCGATGCTTCCAGGAATGCCTCAATGGCACCAACTCCTGCAGTGGGTGCCAATGTCGTAATGTTGATACCCGTGGGGACGATCGTCACAGGCGTTGTTGTGTTGGGGGCTGTCGGAATCGCTGTGCCAGGTGCGGCGCTGGGGGGAAGAGTCACTGGCACCGTTGCACTTGTTGTTGGCGCGAGGGTCACCACTCCAGGAGTAGATGGGGTAATCGTAATGTTCCCGCTCCCGGGAGCACTTGGAGGAATTGTTACCACAGTGACTTGTGGTGTTGGCGCAGCTGTTCCAACACTACCAGGGGAAGGAGCTGCCGTGATGATCGTTGGGACAGTCGTCACAACGCCGCCAGATGGTGAGTTCGTGATTGTTGTCTCAGAAGGAGTTGGAGCTGGGGTCTCTACTGGTTCAGGCTCGGTTGTTGTCGGCTGGGCGGGGGTGGCGTGAGTGGGACCAGCCGAATGAGCAAACACATTCCTTTGCATTACAGGTTCATAGTGGCGGTCTTCTATTGCCATTTGTGTTTCTTCTTCGGATATTTCCCAAAGTTTTCGAATGTAGCTGAGAACTTTGGGTATGTGTTCATGAAAGCTAAAGATTGATGCTTCGCTCCTGGCGAAGTAGGTGCATAGGAAGACCATTATCAGCTGCCTTCGGCAGCGCATCTTCCCAGCCCCTTTTGCCATGATCAGAATTGAAATTTTATCGGCCCTCTCTTAGTATCCCTTATCCAACTGGTTTTGTCTTCTTGTCTCTGCTGTGATGACGGCTTTTTAGTTTGCATTACCGGATTGCAGGTTTCTGCCGTTGTTTGCTTCATTCTTATATACGAAAAACCTGGGAGATACTTTTTGGCCGTTTCATACGACTGCAAGAGAAGAGGTAAGAGGGGTAAATTTAACCAACGTTTAAAATAATATTTCCTCCGACTTTCAGAGCATATTCCAAGAAAGGAGACCGACCACTCAAAAGAGCGCTCGGGTACCTGCTGTGAGATGGGCGCGAACATTCGCTTGGGAGTTGATTTGCCTTGCATGACCATGTTTGGGCTTTGCGGAACTTCGTACAGTGCTAGCACCTTCGAGGATCACAACAAGTGAGTGAAGCCGACTGGCAGCAGCACCAAAACTGCTGCAACAAGCTGGAAAAACCAAGGCTGAACTGGGCGGATCGGTTGATTAAATGTCTTCATGGAACCACCCCGTCCTAGTCCGTCCTGTGCCTACACTTGTAAGATTCACTGGCTGCTGGTCAAAGCAACGAAAGGAATTGCCGTCGTACCGGTACAGCCGTACACACGCCAAGAAGTAGCTAGATATCGATCTATCCCCATGTCAAGAGCAAACTTGAACGTGGCAGTAATCTATTTCTATACTGAATGCTCTTTGAAGTGTCGGAACTGGTATCAAGGTAATGCAAAGAACTCAGTGCAAGTACCCGTATGTTCTGTGGTACAGGATACCGGTACGGTACGGTACGATAGCAAGCAAGATGCACCCTCCAAGTAGACTATTTTAATAGACCGTAACAAATTTCTCACGGAAGAAGTAACAAATTTCGGTACGATACTGCATGAAGTGGCAACAGCAATTCTAGACTAGTCTAGGCGGTCTACATGTACTACTACAATACAGATTCTTTTCGTTCAACTACAATCTTACGTCGTTTTACTGTATAGGTTTTGTGAAGGAACACTGACTAAAGTGGGTTAGGAGAGGGCGCCCATGCGCTGGTGCGGTGATACTCGTAGCTGCTGACGGTCAACTCCTTTATGGTTTTGAATTGGAGATATTTGATGAGGGCATGCACACATACCACATTACCAAACGAGATTAGAGAATAATACAGTTGCCATCGTTCGATGCGCATGGCAAGAAATCCAGTGGTCCCTGCTCGTTGACCTCAATGCCCTTCTCCTGCGAAATGAATTGATCCATCGGCTGTCCTTCACGCTTGCGGTATTGAGTCCATAGATCATGAGAGATTTCCAATACAGGTCGTGCCGAACCAGATGCTTCCTTGATTTTGTTGGAGGCGTTTCGTGCACTCTCTTTTGCTTCGCTTGATGTGCCGGCAACCTCAGAGTAGGTAACAAGCATCTGTGCAATCTCGCCGCAGGCCTTCTCGCTTTGGATGGATGTGCGTGGAGGTTCTGCAGGCGTCAGAATGGATGGGAGCATAGCTTCGATGGCCCCCACGGCGAATTCCGCAGACATGGCATCGGGAACATACTTGGAGCCTCCCTCGGCATCATCCATGGCGGACAACACCAGGTCAGAAATGATCTGGAAGTTCAAGGCAACAGCTGAAGGCACAGCAAGGACCTTGGTGTTGGATTCTTCCCCATCAGAATCGGCCTTCTTGGCCGCGAGGCACAAGTCACGGAAGGCCTTGGTAGCAGTGTACAGCTTGAAGACACCGTAGGCGTATTGACCATCCTTGCCCTTCTTTTCGACAATGTTGGTCATGAGCTCGGAGACAGACTTGGCCGCAGGGCTTCCTCCATCTGGGAAAGAGGCCCACTGGGCATCGAGGAAGGCACAAGCCATGGTGGCCTTCAGCCCTTGCAAATCACCTTCCGACATGATGTTCTTGATGACATCAACGGCACCAGCCTGGATGAGGGCGTCGCGAGAGACAGGCCACTGGGCAAGGTTGAGGATGACAAACAGCGAGAAATCCTCCAAACTGTTGGAAGTCCAGCGAGAGGGAGGGGCAGTGGTAGAGCGAATGTTCTCCACAACGCACTTGGGAATGTCGGTTTGTCCGATCAAGGCGGCATTCTCTTCACTCTTGGCCAAGTTCTTGATCAAACCGCAAGCCCAACGGACACCCTCTGATTTGCCGGAACCAGACTTGGGGACGGCGGGAGAGTTGGTGAGGAGCTTCTCGAGAACCCGAAGCAAAGAGGCGGGGTTCTCAAGAGGAGCAAGAGTCTTGCCATCGGGGGATGGTGAATGCTGAAGGATGGTGGTGATGCTTGCCTCAAGGAAGGAAAGATTCATCAAACAGATGCAGCACAAGTAAGATTCTTGCTTGTCCTCGGCAATGACCTTGCAGAGTCCTCCAATGACTTCCTCAGAAGCAGGTCCAAGTGCCATGACACGCTTGTTTTCAGTGGGGATGGAGAGGTTGTTCAAGGCCAAGCAGGCCAAGTGACGACCATCGCCGCTTTCTTGTGTCAAGCACTGTGCAAGGGGTGTGAGCACATCATACTTTCCACTGCAAACCATGGGCACACGGTTCTGCTTGTGTCCAACATCGCACAATTCGTAAATGCGCTTGGTGGCGGCGGCACTCTTCTCTCCCTTGGAGTTGAGCATAGTCTCAATCAATTGAGGAATGTCATCGAGAGTGGGTGGCTTGGCTGGAGCGCTCTTTGGTGCAGCCTAAAGAAAAAATCGAATTAATTCACGTGCCGGTGAGTTGAGTTGTGTTTGTTGCAGCATGATAGCAGGGGAGCTCTACATCAAATTGATGGATGGGTGGACTGTCGGGTTGCCAATGTCATTGTGTTGTCGTGTGTGTATCTATTTCGATCGCCAATGCTCCATCGTGAAAAGTAACAGTTGGACTCACCTTCTTTTCTTCTTTTGCGGCAGGCTTCTTGGCCTCGGCAGCGGGCTTGGCATCCTCCTTGCTAGCCTTGGGCTCCTTCTCGTCCTTCTTCTTGCGTCGGAATGAAACCCTGGCAGGAGAGAGAGAAGAAAGTGTCAGGCCAACGTCAAAATTCCAAACGAAAACATCAAACGAGCGAAATCCCTTTCGTGGACAAGAAGACTCCTGCTCTCTCATCGTCTCGTCATGCCGTCAACTGCCAGGCTGCTGCGAGTTGTCGTTCTTACATTGTCAAATGTCAGTGAAAAAGCGAAGTGATTGGTATGGGACTTTGTGTATGCTGCAGACGGCCTTGGCTTTGGCTTTGTCTCCTTCGAAGGTTGTGAGAGGTTTGTTGCCTTTGGCGATGTTTGAGACTTCTGCACTCGCGAAAGGAAACAGAAATATCGATTTTTGGAGAAAATGGGAGAGAAATGAGCAGGCCGGGAGCCTGTCCGCCTCGACTTCCAGTGACACTATTCTAAGAAGAGAGCAACGGAATAGCAATCGGATTCAATGCCGCAAGCTCAGCCTGCGTCAGTCTTGCGTGACTGAAAACATCAAGACCTTTCGGAAGCAAAATCGGATGCCTCGGTTCGTGCCAGTGCTCGGTTCGTCCAAGGAATCGGCATCTGAGAAAATGCCAAACCAATGTTTTCTATCATTGTTGGTGTGGGTCGAGAGCAGGCCTTCATTCAAATTTTAAACTCAAACTCAGCACATCTGCAGAGCTTGTGTACATGTAGTCTATGGTCGGTACCAAAGCGCAGTCCACGGAATGTCCTCAAAGGACATGGAAAGTGTCAATGAACGCAACCTCCCTCCTCTTGCCGCACAGGTCGTTCTATGTCCGGGACGATTGGTGAGACAGGTGTGCTCTGAGTGCTTCCCTGTCCCTCCTGGTTTCGCCTATGCATTCCACTTTTAGAGGAGATGAGCAACATGGAAGAGGAACTCAAGCGCACAGCTGCACTAACGACGGTAATAACGACCCACAGTATCAACACAAGAGCGACTTGCTCAGCCAAGCAAAAATCCTACTCTGCGTAATAGGCAAAGCATTCAACTAACTTAACTAGTTCTTCTACTACTCTACACCACAAGTTTCCCTACACTCTACACTCTACACCACAAGCTATTCTTCAACTATTGATTCATTTGTCCGGTCTGTTTGAAGCAGGAACAAAACCAAAACCAAAAGTTTGTATCCTGGCATGGTCCCGTAAAGTTGCAGATTGCTGTCTCGATCATCAGTCCCGCGAACAAGTTAAATGACATTGTATGCAGGGTGGGTTTTTTCCTGGCTACCGGTAGCTAGCTGGTCAGTGGCTACAATAGCCAGTTGATTCCTGGTTCCTTGAGCTCTCTTTACAGAGGGTAGAGTGTCGTCGACAATCCTGGCTTGTGCGTCTGCATCAATCCTGGGTGTTTCTGCGAGGCAAGCAAGACGGGGCTCCGGTCGAGAAAAGTTGTGTTGTCCATGAGAAGAAAGGACCGCGCTCCCTGGCCCTGCGAACGATTGATTGAATCATTGACCATGATGTCTTATCTTGATTCGAACTCGATAGTTTGACTTCTTGTAGAGCACCAGGGTGAAGATGGCGATAACGAGCATCAACGGACCATGCTCGGGCCCAGCCAGATCTTCTATTAGATAGACTGGCAGCAGGATCATGAAAAAGACCGCGAGGCCAATAAGCTGTACAAACACGTTCTGCCGGATCCCCCAGTCAGCAAGGTTGAGCCCGAAGGCAACGAAAGGAGGAAGCCCGTCCTCGTTGTAGGAATCACAAGGTTCTTTCGACCAGCCCAGGCAATACATGCGTAACGGGGAGAGGAACATATGAACCATAACTCGCTGAGATATCTTCACAGTAAAACCGTTTTCACCAAGTTCAATATGTTCCCTCGCGTCTTCTTGAAGCGATATATAGGAGGAGGCCACAATACCGTCAACTAGGAGAGTTCCGTGGGGTGTCAAAGGAGCGTATTGCTCTCTTCTCTTGACCTTCTTTATCTTTGTCACTGTCAGACCAGTGTAGTGATCACCTCTCAAAATATCACCGACTTTCAAGGAATCTGCGCGCACTGGGTTTTGCTTGTTGTGCAAATACACCATGTGCTGCCCGGTGATTTCGAGGGGTCGCTTGTTTCGATCAAAGGGGAAGGTGTGAATCGCCAGGAACTCGATCGGATCTGCCCGTTCCTTGTAGTGTCCGAAGGCATAGACTTGCTCGTACCGTTCTTTGTCATTTCCTTTATGTAGCAGTGGCAGAGAGAATTGGTAAGGACACGCTTGATGATGGTGTCAATCGTCTGTATTCTGTAACAACATACCAGTGACAACGAAATCTCCCACGGACAGTTCTGACATGAGAATGCTCCCCTTCCCGTAGACCGACACTCTGGCCTTTCCCGAAAAGCAAAAGGCACTCTTATCCGATTCTGCACTGCATGTCGTCGCCAATATTGCTGCTCCCATAAACCAAAGAAGCATTGATGTCATGGTCAACATGTTTTGTTGCTCGAACAAGCATCAGTTGAAAGCAGGACAGAACACAGAAACCCGTGCTTTGCACCTTGGCATGAGGTGCGCAGCGAATTTCACTGGCGATAGAAAAGTACCGTACAGGGGCCAGCTATCGCCAATTCACGAGGTGACTAAAACGTGGACACATTGTTTCTAGTAGCTGCATCAATAGTAAGCCAGCGCTAGCCTGTAATAGTTTCCAAGACGAAACCAACACCTTCAAAAAGTAACGAAGACCAACATTGCCCATGGCTCTGGAAGCTCAAGGACGGGAAGTGGTCGTAATCACACTGGGTGCATTGTAGAGAGCAGGGGGCGGAACTTTAAAATGCATCACAACTTTGGGTTGAGCTGCCATGCTTGGACCGTCCATCCGACGATAGATAGGATGCTGGTTCTGCCCTTCACCATCGGCCAAAGCTCAGTGAGTTCCCTAATGAATATATTGTACATATATCACTCGCAACTGTTCACTCATTTTGCAGTGATCAGCCGCCCTAACACAATTGATCTGCTTTGCTACTCTTACAAATACGCCATTCTTCACCGCATTGGCATTGCTGTCTTTCAGCTCAGCCAAAGTTCTGCATTGCTTTCGACCAAAATCCACTCTTGGAATAACACTGCAATCAAGGTTTCTGGAGTTATTTGTGGGCCAGCTTTAACTCCACAGGTGATATTGACTGTTCCTGTAGCATCCATCTGAATAGGGGCGACTGGAAGCCAAGTGAGACGATCCAAAAGTGGCAGAATCGTTGCTTGCCCTCGACAAGAGTGCTGTGAAGTCAAACCAGCCTGAATTCCACGAAAGATAGCATGGGTATGAAAACCTCCAAGCTCATCCTTGATTATTAAAAACGAACCACTCAAATGTGGGGCCCGCTGAGCGATGGGCGCTGGGCAAAGCCCAAGCCCAAGCCTGAGCCCGATGAGAGGGAGAGCGCTGGGCGAAGCCTGAGTCCCGTACCGGCCCCGCGTGGGTGGCATTGTTTTGATGGGAATGAGAACCAGTGTGGTCTATATCTGCAGGCTTATTTCTCATAACGATCTCAGTTTTCTCAACAGTCGACAGTGTCCTGTTGTCATGTCACCATTTCCACCGTTGTTATATTTCAAGGCCAGAGGATAGTCTCTTGCATCTAAGAAGCGCAATTGTAGGTAGCTAGTTCCTGAATTGGGAACCTCGAGTCTACTTTTCCACGGGAAGCGAACGATGAGTGGAAATCCACGTGAACTCCCATTGTGGTGCGAAGCAGCTGTGCTGGTTTAGCCAGGTGGAAGAATCGCTGTGACATCTGTATACTCCAACAGTAGGGTCAGCAGTGCAGCATCTGGCAATACAGAAATAGCTGAGGAACTCTATATACCCAAGGATGATGCAGTTCTTCAGCCAAGACCAATATAGAAAGTTAGCTTGCCAGCACAGCCAAATGAGATGCAAGAGAGCCAAAGCTGCATGGCTGAGTGCTGTCGGAGGATTTTGTGTTCAGTTGATTTTAGCATAGTTTAAAGAAGAAGAAGTAATGAAAGGATAGTTGACCAGATACAGCCTCAGTAGCACTAGTTTCCCCAGTTGAAGCCTTCCTGTGTGGATTGTGCCAAGGCAAAGAGTAAGTTGTTCAATCATTGCTGTGGAGATTGAATAACAGCGGCAGCAGCTTTGTGGCTGGCCCATTCCCACTGTCAGAGGAGTGAGGCTCCAAGCAGAGCTCTCCACTCCCAGCCAGCTCTTTGTGCATCTACCCTGACTGGATCTCATCGGATAACATTGTCGCAGATTGCAGGCACAAGAGTGGCTATGGTACGTGTGGAAATCGAAGAGGAGGAGGAGAGGAAGGAAAATCGTGATCCAGACCTGCCGACAGATCGACGACCGAAAACTGGAATCGCGACCGTTTGAGGAGGTATCACTGGTCCACCTATCAACAAGGACCTCTACAAGATACAAGACTATCTTCCTACCAGTCGGCCTACCATTCGAGATCGGCGAGTAGAAGGCATCGACTGACCCATCAACAAGGAAAATCGCGATCGGAATCTGCCGATCGCCGAACAAACCAATCGGAGTGGTAGTGACAAACCAAGACGGTCACCTACCAACCTGAGGGTGCTTGAGAGGATAGTCCGCCAGTTTCTTGTTAATCGACTGTTTGGCTGGCCGACAGTGAATAGGAACGGCTCATCACCATTGTCAATCCTTTCCTTTTCCTACGGAAATCCTCAGTCGTGCCTCCGGAGATAGCTACTGCGGTAAGGAACCGGTACTCACCACGGTACTCAGAACCGGTACCGTACCTCCGTCCCGAAAGCAAGCCGAGCCGATCAAGTCCCTCACATTTTCCCCGGAATTCCGAACTCGGAAGATACCTGTTGAAGATACGTGTTGATTCAAGGTATCGATCAACCACTCCAAGGGTAACTCGCAACACCACGAGAGCACTTCGTCGGTTTCGAAGATTCCAAGGACATCAGTGTGTCAAGCAGCCTCTGTTTAGTCATTGACTAGCAGTGCAAGACCTCAAGTCTACATTTGGATTTTTCGTGACAGTGTTTGTTCAACACCTCTACACCTCTACTCGACCACAGCAGTCATCATGGGTACCAGCAGAAGCAAAAGGAGGAAGAAGCAGCAGAGCAGCACAACACGCAACAGCTGCAGCATCAGCAACAGCAACAGACACCACCACAGGATGTGGCAACACCGTCGCCGGTGCCACCACCACCACACCGGCAACACCACCAGGTAGCACTGAACCACCACCATCCACTCCTGTCAAGTCACCAGTGGATCCACCCTCAGTCCACCGGCTACCTGTGGTTCCCCCACCATCTTACCAACTGCAAACACGGCTCTTAGCCTTATTCGCGACTCGATCCTAGATAGGGTTTGAGTTCGACTCATGACTGAGTCTCTCGTGATAGTCATTTGAGACGGGTTCTCAATGACCGCGCTAGTATACTAGGTTGATGATGAAACATCGCTCTAGATATTTAGCCAGCGTGGAGTACTTCCACGCTACTAGATCCAGGCTAGACAAACCTTCACGCGTTCCGTTTTGGGATCGTGGAGAACGTAGGATTACTACCGCAACCTACTCTATCACACTTTAAGTCTCCCGCGGGAAGCCAGATCTACATCCCTTGATGATGATCTCTCTCGTTGATTAGTTTTCATAGCTTTCTAATCTCTCTCATAACTTTATTCTCTCAAACTCAAACACTCGAAAGTCTTTACACTAGCTTTTAGCGTAGTGCATTTTGTTAACAAACACAATAGCTTTCAGCTACCCTCAACCTATTCCTTCACCATGAAGATGGCTCAAGGAAAGCATGCGTTCCGCAACTTCGAAAAAAGTTGCGTGACAAACCCATTCTTCCTCTCGTCGACAACGACGAAGAAAACGAGATCGACGATTCGTGCAACCACTTCAAACTTCCAACCATGTTGCGAAGCGAAATCAGAAAAGATCTGACAATGAGGACAACTCTCTATCAATTCAATCACTTGGATTGAGAAATCTTATCTGAGGATTAGGCCAGATGATGACTCAACGGAACCATGTTTCGTTTCTCATACCAATTAATACTAGTAAACAAGAATTGTTGCAACTGAGAACTCACATCTCTCTTCTGT